CTTCTCGTCTTCGCCTTACGTACGTTACATGCATGTCGCGTTAATGTAAAGTTAACGAAGAACAAGAAGAAGAACATGTGTCATTTCGAAAAAAGCCATCATCACTGGCTAGACTTACATTACATTGCATTGCATTGCATTGCGAATGCATTGAAAACCTACAAGCATATATACGTGCAGTCATTTAAATGGCTTGCCATACAGCATATAAACTTGAACACGTACCCACAAGCAAAGAACTGCACTATATATATATATATATATATATATATATGCGCACTGGAGTGTGTCTATGTTAAGTGTAGTTGTAGTCTTTTTTTTTATTGTCTGCGATGTGAAATTGATTATACCTCTGTCCGCATATCATTCACATAACAAATACTTTACGCTTTATGTTCGTACAATGTAGTAAGGCAAAGAGCGGTATATAGCCTTTATCGGCTTCCAATTGCACTTGAAAAATTGTCGTGTGATCCATGATGATTTTTTGCACGGATCAGCAAATTGAACGTTAATATTGCTTATCATACATCATAATTTTCACGAAAATATCTTCAATTCTATGTTTTACATGTTACTTTAAGGAACGTATTTAAGAGTCATCATAATAATGAATAATTATTCTGATATTTCGTTTTTTTGGAAATCTACTTCAAAAGCATGCTAGAAATACTTGACTTTGATTTCACGAAAGCTTAGTAGCTCAAAACCTACATCTTGCTCATAATTACAACACCATTTCCATAACCATAGTCTATACAAGCATGTTGTTACGCTTATATATACATGAGCAATGTATGTCATTGATCTTTAGTAATCGCATTTATATGTGGGTTTTTATAAAATATTTCATGGTTGACACTAAAAAAAAAAAAGAACCTTAACCTAGACAATGTATATAAAATAATCTACAACAACAACAATAATAATAATAATAAGAGTTTCTTGTAGGTTTTAAGTTCGGTCTTAAAATGAAAGACTTACCAGCTCAACATTCTTCTTTCATTTTTTTATCTAAAGACCACATCTCTCTCCCTCTCTCTTTCTTTCCTTTTTTCTCTAATAACTCTCAGAAAAATGCCAAATTTTTAAAGTGGACTTTCAATGATATAGAGCGATAGGGTTTAATTAGTTTATTTATGTTACGCTAAAGACGACTGTAAACATTTCTCTATTACGGGAGCCCACTTTCTGATTTGATTAAGATGATGAAGAAAGACATTCCACGAAATCGCTGAACGAATATACGTTCGAAGAGTTTATTAAATGCCTCTGTCAAGCTGCTTGGGGTTCACGGCGGAGCGTAAAGCAAACATATCAACGTTGGTTACGGTCTTATCAAAGAAGAAAACGTCGTGAAGCTCAGCTGAGACCATGGTTCTTCGTAAGAATTCGCCCTAGAAAGATTTTTAAAGAAACTCTCTTTATAGTGGATTTTTCGCAGTTTATATAACGAAATGAGTAAAGTAAGTAAATAAAGTTTTTGATCAAATTTCGGAGATCGTAGGATAGAACCGTACTCGTGCCAGTTAATATTCTCCTTTTTATCATTACTTTGGCGGGCCCTAAACGATACGCACCATGTTCTTAGAAACCCTTGATTCTTATTGACGGCATGGAAACCTGAAAACGTAATTCTTGCTATTTTTTCAATGTCCACCAAGCACGGAATGTATTTGTTCGAGTGCACGAAATTGAAATATTTCATTTGAAAAATAGTAACCTCCCGAAAGCCTAATTAACGTACAAAGCATAATAAAGTTAATTGGTTTTCCCCAGTTGACTAGGCCGTCCTTGAATTTCTTCTCTTTCCATTTTGCCCATTTTGCAAGTTTCTAGTAAACTACAATAAGCTGGAGAGGTAAACATCGGACGGCCACTTTCTTTCTTATTTTCCTATGCCGCTTCTCGAGCAGAAAAATACATAAATCAATATATACTATCGGGCTACTCCTTCATTCTCCACTCAAGATATATTCTAAGCAATTAAATATGTTTTGAAGAACAATATACTTATACTTGAAAATAATATTAAGAGATATAAACATTTATTTAATATCGTATCTTACGCTTCGCTATTAATTCAAAATAATTAAGTGGGAAAGAAACAAAGCAATCCTTAACAGTTGCTGTCAATCATTATAATTGCAACTCATTTTTCTATAAACTCAATATATGATTGTTGTTTATAAGTATGAATGAACATCAAAAATTTCAAGCAATAAACGGTAACATGAACAAATGAATAGGAAAACATTAATTTTAGAGGAAAAACAACAAAAAAAGAAGAATTGGTATAATGAAGTAAAAAATAAAAACATGATCTGAAGGAGAAAATAAATCTTCTTGCGATCATAAAACATAAATTGCTCATGACCAAAAATAAATAAAGAAAATTAAAAAATAATTTTTTTTAGTCTTTTTCTAATTAAGATTAACCATAAAAAGCGAAATAAAAATAAACATTTTTACATAAAAGTAAATTTCGTCAAATTATCTCCGTAACGCTTTGTCATATGTCGGGAAAAGATTACGCATACCTGATAATTAAATACACCTTAAAGTAGTGAAGTAGGTAATCTACTTTTGGGGCGGGTAAAAATTGACCATAGGTAGCTGAGTAGAAATTGAGTAGAATCAGAAAATTAGAGTATAATTCGCATGTGTGGGCGGGAGCTGTAAAACTTCGCTTGGAGGCTCTCGATTGGGTGCTCACGGGCGACGAAAGTGTGTCCAGAACTCTCGATGCCCTTGAGCATCGGCATAGTGGGGACTGCGTTGCGCTTATGTACAAGCAAAGTTTTCGACGGAGATAAAAGAGATTTGCCTCATCCACTCGTCCTGGAGTTACCTGTGTGTACCGCACAACACACTACCCCACCGTTCACCGTTTTTGAACCGTACTCGCCTTGCTCCTTAGGAACAATCTATCAGCGGTGGCCTTTACCGCTGTATGCTGATGTCTCTATTATCAAGTTGAATGTTTACTTACAAACCCTACTCCCTTTGCTCGTCCCACCCTAGTGCGATATTTTCACTTTCCAACAATCGTTTTGAGTAAATGACAAAATAAATTTCATTAAGGCAATAATTACCTCTAAGGATTGTCTTTTGCTGACACGAAAGGATGACTTGAATTTGAAATTGCAATGAAATCAATTACGAAGATTCGTGCTCAACCTTAAGGAGAGCAAATAATTTGTTTATTGACTATTTAATGCAAACATATTTTGTCTTTGAAATGAGTTTTGCATTTTGTAAGAAGAAGAAACCAATTGAACCGTTTTTTTTTTTTTTTTTTAACTTTATTGACATTAGGTCCTAGTCAAAGCTTGCCTTTTCGGATAGCCTTACACCTATCTTGTGTTGATTTGTTATATGTCCGTATAAATGAGATTAACAATGGTATTTGTGCTTATATGATCCTTCTCAACCTGCATTCAATTTGTTTATTATCTTTCTTACACAAAATATATTTTTAGTTAAATATCGTTTTCGAGACTTTATCTTCAGATAGGTGGGTAACTTACATAGGCACTAACATAAATCTTTTGTTCACTTATATTAAAACTTCGGTATCAAAGGAGTGTGTGTGAGTGATCAAATTGTGACCTGAAGTTGACTATTGTCTCTTCGAACTATCTGATTTCATAGTCCCATAATCTCATCATCTAACTTGCAAAGAAATTTACGCTAAATTTAAAATTCATGCGAGAGCTTTAGTAATCGGAAATATACTTGTGGGACCAAAATGCGGGAGGGTTTTATACATCACCGGAGATAATTAAAGCTTTGTATAAACCAGTGGTTAATAGGAATTTTTATTTCTGACTAATTCAACATTAAGTCTTCGCCAAGGGTAAACTTGGAACTCGGCTGTCTGAGCATTCCCATCCGCTCGCCCAAATACCGGTACCCCTTTACAGGAGACGTCGTTCTTTAAGGGCGTTCTTCGCTTTTAGAACACCGTAGAAGCAATGGTCTTTCCAACACCCCTTGCTATACCAGGTCCCAAGATCTATAATGAGAATGCGGCTTAAGTTTCAAGTTGTTTGTAAAAATAATATAATTAAAGAGAAAAAGCAGATGGCTTCCCGGGCAACCTAATACTTCTAACAAAAGCAAAGTTGCAGTCATAAAGTTATTCATCCTCTGTCGGCAATTGGAGCTTTAATGCTTTTGGAAACTGAAAATATAAGGATCGGTGTGCTCACCATTGATGACCGAGAGTCGAACCTGCCTATAAAGCAAATAATAAATGCATTTTAATACCACCAGCTTGAAATTCGATTCGTTGATTAAAATATCGATATAAGATTGTCCTCAACCGGTCAACTAACATAGGCTTAATCAACCAAATACATTACAATATTATTATATGTACATCTGAGATTTTGCTTATATGGAGCTTTTGAGATTGATTATTATTTTTCCTATACCTGCAGAGAGTAGAGGGCTTATTGACCTGTAAGTGTCGTCTTATTAATTCTTCGTCCAAATCAATTGTAGTTTTTTTAGTTATTGTTCTAAAAAAAAAAAACTTGGTTCACTTTAAAAGCAATTAAAGAACTTGAAAATCTTATTGATTTTCTCTTAATTTGGCCTTGACTTTGGTCGAAAAAGACAAGCCACATCGAGCACATTAGAATATATACAATAACAATAAGAACACCGTACACTCTTGCAAGTAAGAACTAAAGCTAATCCAAGACACTTTTTACTTGTGTATTAGGTGAACAATAAAGACATAAAACAATTTGAAAACCATTCAAATTTAATTGTTTGTTAATTGGATTTAAAGGAATTAATTTGACTAACGGCAATGGCCGCGCAAGCACATCGCCGGTATATAAAAAGGAATACGAGCAGTCAAGCAAGAACATTGTCGTTCGACAATGTGTTGAATTTGCGCATCAACTCGCAAGGAATACTAACGAAATAAGGAAAATACAAAAAAAAATAAATAAATAAATAATAATATAATATATATATGTATATATATATATATGTATATATATATATGAAAAATAAAGCTAATAATAAACAATGAATTGATCTATACACCGGGATAGTGTAGATGTGCTCACATGTACCCTAAATAAAATCTACAAAGCAAAGCTACATTTAATTAATTTTATCTAAGACTTGATTTAAGTGAAAAAGATGGACTCATTAAAAGTGGCTGTGGTAGAATATTTACGCGGTGGCCGAAATGTTAGCTTGGCCGAGAGTGTACCATCTGATATAATGCATATGGTGGATCCATATTGGTATAAATGGCCACCTATGGAACCTCTATGGTTCGGTATTATCGGTTTCATTATCACTGTTTTAGGTATTATGTCGTTAACGGGAAATTTTATCGTTATGTACATATTCACTTCGTCGAAATCGTTGCGCACTCCTTCCAATATGTTCGTAGTGAATTTGGCATTCTCCGACTTCATGATGATGTTCACCATGTTCCCGCCTGTGGTATTGAACGGTATCTATGGTACTTGGATTATGGGTCCATTTTGGTGTGAATTGTACGGCCTATGTGGCTCCTTGTTCGGTTGCGTTTCGATTTGGTCGATGACTTTAATCGCTTACGATCGTTATTGTGTTATTGTTAAGGGCATGTCAAGGAAACCGTTAACTATTTCGGCGGCCGTATTCCGTTTGCTGTTTGTTTGGGCTACTTGCCTAGCCTGGGGTTTATTCCCCTTATTTGGCTGGAATCGTTATGTACCCGAAGGTAATATGACTGCATGCGGTACAGATTATTTTGCCAAGGATTGGTGGAATCGTTCCTATATAATTGTGTATACAGTTTGGGTGTACTTCACGCCATTGCTGACCATCATGTTCTCATATTGGCACATTTTAAAGGTATGCCAAATATTTATATTTATTATGAAAATGATGAAAGCATTAATAATCTAGGCTGTCCGAGTTCATGAGCAAGCGATGCGTGATCAAGCCAAGAAAATGAATGTTGCTTCGCTACGCAACAGTGAAGCCGATAAAGGCAAATCAGTTGAAATCAAATTGGCTAAGGTAGCTTTAGTAACTATATCGTTATGGTTCCTCGCCTGGACACCATATGGCATTATTAACTGGGCCGGTATATTCGAATCAATGCACTTATCACCGTTAAGCACAATTTGCGGTTCGATATTTGCTAAAGCCAACTCTGTCTGCAATCCTATTGTCTATGGTCTAAGGTAAGAGCACACTTTCGAACGCACACACACACACACACACACACACACACACACACAGACATCAATAAGCACCGATGATTAATTATTATTATTGATATAATGCTTTTCACGTTCGCAGTCATCCCAAATATAAACAGGTCTTAAGAGAAAAGATGCCCTGCTTGGCCTGCGGCAAAGACGATTCGCACTCAGACGTCAAGACTGTAGCTACCGGTGAAATTAGTGAATCAGCGGCGTAAATACTTCATAAACATTATTTCGAAACGATGTATTTTCATTTAACGTGATGTGATAAATGGCTAAGACTTCAGCTATGACTACGGAACTATTCTTAGATATATATGTGAATTCAATAAAATGTATTACAAAAAAAAAAAAAATTACAAAAAAAAAGAAAGCATTTCAAAAAAAAAAAAAAAAAAAAAAAAAGAAAGAAAAAGACTTCACACAATAATAATAATTATTGTCATATGAAGAAGGGAAAGAGAAATCTTGCAAAAAGGAAATATTGCCTTCAAACAGGAAGGATGTGATCTGAAGAAAAAAAAAATTAAGAAAAAAATAAAAGCAATTGATATAAAATCAAAAATTTAAACAAATTCATTTACAAAAAGGGCAATCAATCGCTAAAACCGTTGTAACTGTCTACAAAAGGAAGCAGGTTCGTCACGCCTTTTTCGCGGATGGAAGGCAAGATGAGATGAATAATAATAGACTTAAATTTAAGCATAAAAAAAAAAGAATTGGTTTGAAAAAATATTTAAAAATGGCAACACCAAAGCTCAAGGTACGTACGAAAGATTACTCTACGCACGTAGTGGAAATTTGCATAGAAAAAAGAAAAAACAACGAAATTCGTTTAGCCTACGTTCCTATATCCAGAAAAGAACTGGGAATTTTTTCAGAAATACTGAATTTTATGTGATTGGAAAGTGTTCGAATGCAGAAGGTCAAGTTTATCTTTTATTAATAAAAAATGTTTAGATCAACGAATCCAGCGAAACCATTTTATGCCTTTCCCTAGAGAATACTATTTTCAAGATATCGTAAAAATGATGAGTTAAGATTTTCAAAAACCCATGTAATGCCCATGCGTCATGTAATTATGTTCGAATAATCGGTAATTCTCATGAGTAGCCGAGAAGGTAAAAATCGCATTTAGCAAATCCTTGTTTGCGGATTCACGTAGCAATATAGTAGAGTTAACTTTGGTCATAATTATAATGAGCACTAACTGTACCGTGACATTCACTAGATTCTGGATACCTTTCTAATTCTTTCTTCTCATTTCTCATTTCTTTCCGCTCGTCCACCCATTACACAAATGGGAGACACAGCCGGAGCCGAACTGGTCACCCGCCCCCAATTGTCTTTTCGTACAATTTGCAATTAATTGAATGGTGTATAACAAAATTATATTCAGCTGTTGGCGAACATTTTTTACTCATCACCGGTAGCCTGCAAAGACTAAAAAGAAGCAAAAAACCCCCTCTCAAAAATGGACCCACCTTTTATTGTACCAATCAATGTAAAAGAAAATGTCTGGTAAATGAATTAATACATGCAAAAAGGAATTGATGGACGGCTTTCCCTTTGGCCGAATGAAAGAAAATGTCTGGTAAATTAATTAATACATGCAAGAATGGAAAAGGGGTATGACGAATAAGTTCTCCCCTTTTACCTATTTTTACTTTTGAACACATGTCATGAATGCCTGCGGGTAAAGGTGGTAATTGATCAACAAGTACAGTGGAAGCCTTATGGCGGAAGCAGTCAGTTGATCAATTGGTGAGTCCTGACTACTGGGTGCGGCCCTTCGGGGAGTACTCGTGGTGGTTGTGGTTGGCGAGTTCCTAGCTAAAATGGAACAATGAGTGCAGCTAGGCCCTCGCCATTCACCAGAGTGGGGTTTATTGTTCCATACACAATAAAATGATCTGGACTCTGGTGCTGTTTAGGCCCCTACTCTGTGGGGATTGTCTAACTCGCCAGGGGGCGTAGTACGCTTAAAAAGTGGTTTGGGCCACCGTGGGGTTAAGCCTTACAGGCAGGAACCCACGTTAAACCCTTGCCACAAATTCTGTACCAATCAATGAATGTACTAATCGGAACTATTTTTTGAAATGATCTAAGCTTGTCTGTCCGTCCGATTTGTTCAACTTGGGAGACACAATTTTTTATATATTTTGTTGAAATCCAGTGCATTGACGTTACTTTGAGCTGAGAACCGACCACAATGCTGATAATGGTTCGGAGCAATCCAATGGATAGTGTCATGCCATGTTCCGGGTATCCTCAATGAAACCACATATGATGAAGACAATGTGTGATTTTTGTTGGCTTATAATCAAACAAGTGAATAGCTGTATGAGGCAAAGTGATGTAGTTTATCTAATGTTCGGCCTTGCCCGACTATAATATTATATTTATTTGTATAATTATATCTTACTTCTTGTGTCTTCTCATATAAATAAAACACTTTCTAATCTTATATTCTCTTAAGTAAAAATGTAATTTCTCAAACATACATACAAACATAACATACATATCATAGAATTGTTTTTTTGTTTTTTTGTTTTCTTTTTTTTTTTTTCTAATATGAATTTGTACAAAATTCCAGTCCTTTTATTAGAATTAAATAAAAAAAAAAATTGAGCTGCAAGCGCGGCTTTTCTTCAACATTAATTATGCGCATTTTTCAAAATCAATGAACTTTCCGATCTTTATTATTGCTGCTGTCAATGTTGTTGTTCTTATTGTGTTCACATTTAGTCATAGTATGTCTTTAGATCAACATCGATTACGGTGCCATTGTGCCGCGGCCCCACATCAAACATTCTTGGCTGTTGAAGATATGCGTGCCTACGATTGTTACTCAATTCGTTTTCGGTATACATAGCACGTCCTTGCAACATCATAACATCAATAAGACGCTTATTGGTGAATAGTTCAGGATCGCTACGTTTGCGTAAATAGTTAAAACAACAGGTTCTGCAAGCAAAGAAAAAAAAAAAAATAAAAAACATGAGAGATTTATGGATACATCAATGCAATGCAATGCAAAGCGTACCGAAAATGTTTAGTGCCACAGGCATTGGCACATTCATTGCCGCATGAATCGCATGGTATAGACAAAGAGTTGAATATTTGCATGAAAAATATACCTGTAAAGTAAGAAAGAGTATAAACATGAAAAATCGAACCGAGAAAGAATTCAATTTTAATATAAAATAATATAAAATAAAGCCGGTGCCTGATACGCGTCTTCAGTTTTACGAATATTAACAGAAAAATTTTGTTGAGTCTATTTTCGACACATACAAAATCCATTAATTACTCTCACACACCTCTTTACAAATTGCTTAAGAGATAAGCAATGCAAAAAGAAAAATCTGAAGCTTAACTTAATTAAATGCTAAACTAAAGATTTAATATAAGTAATTGTTTTAGTCAATCAGTTAGTTTCACTTCTCTCGTCCGATGAATAAGTTTTAAATACAAAACGTACGCTGGCAGCAAAAAGTCAAATTTATCGATAGCTTTAGATGATCGGATTAGTAATGAAATTAGTTTTAAGCTCATGGTCGCTGTATGTAATGACCATTGCGATGGTAAGCGGTACGTATGTGAAATGGGAAGAGAAAATCTTTCGCAAAAATGGAAAGTGTTTTATGTTGTGCAATGAATTATATAACATAATGTTGTTAATGTTGTTGATGTTCTTTTCTCACAAAGCTAATGAATGTGCTCTTAACACTGAGTGTGTACCTATAGTCGATTGTCCCTTCATCCGGGACAGTTTCAGTTTAATCAAGAGGAAACCATATTGCAATTTGGATCGCGATGGTACAAACGTATGCTGCCTGAAACCGCCACAAAATTATACGCAGGCGAAAGATTATGATTTGCGCATTGTAAGAGGTATAGTAATTAATTTGTTTATTGAAATTCTAAATTTATTTCTCGCAATAAGTGAGAGAGAGGATTGGTAAACGCTTGCAAAAAACATAGCAGCTCTTCATCTTTCTCAAATATCTTTGCAAAGCATGAGTAACGCAATGCATATCCGTCTGTTCATTCGTGTGCGAATTCAATACTTGAATTTTCAATTCTCATGCTTAATATGCCCAGTGGTTCATCCACAATCTGCGGAAGCCCACATATCTCCGGTGCTACTACAAACCATACAAACCATATATTTTCGGGGGACATTTCAATAGCTTGCTAGAGTAAATTTTTAGATATTTTCTCTCTAATGAGAAAATCTAGGCATTAGATAATTTCTTTTTAATGGGTAGGAGTTCATTGTCAAATCTTTACCTCAGCTCCTTCCTTATGATTGTGCACTATGCTGCCTTACACCCTTTGTCGTACAGACTAAATTGGGTAGTTTGTAAGTTTCTGTGCACGTATGTAACATCCAGAAGAACTGGAGTTACGCCAATCGATTCAGAATCCCTTTCTAGATATAGATCTAAGCTTCTACGTCCGTCCATCTATCTGCTATCGGCCCATATATTCTTATGTTTAACCTTCAAGTCGTAAATTTTCGAAATATTTTGATAAAATTTTGTTTAATCCGAGGAGGGACGCTATTGAAAACTGGTTGGAATCGGACTACCTTTCGAGCATTCTCCTTATAATGTTTTTCTTTTCTTTGTTGATAAGTCCTTGAACGAAAAAGTATTAAATTTCGCGACACGCTTCGCTGAGTATTTCGTCATCCTAAGTTCATGCCGAAGTTTTAGATCGAAGGAGGTCTTTACAGGGCCGAAACGACTTAGTTTCCAATATTTCTTGATAGCATTTCGTTCGTAATTGAGAAGAAAAACTTAAGCTTACCGGTTCAATTTTATATATTTTATGATGAAAGTCGATTCGGAACATTACTTTGATGTGAAACATTACTGCAACAAGTTTGGGTTAAGTGAGTCTATGCTTTGGAGAAGATTTGCCATGAAGTATTTAACTCTTATCTTAATCTCTTACGATGAAAATTCGCTCATAATAATAGAGCAACGTAAAAATGAACCGTAGAGAATTAGGATCACCTCGGTCTATGTTTTAGACCTCCGCCTATATAAGGGCTCCCATGTTAACGATGCTCTTTTATGCTGATAAAGTCTAACTTGTAGTTTTTGTGACGAAAACAACTGAAGTATAACAAAAGCTCAGACAAGTGAACTAAGTTTGCTTAATTTGAATCATGCTACTTGGATTTTTGGGCATTCTCCAATACGAGGGTCTTCATGGAAAGTATGGTTTCTTATCGCAAAAATAAATAAACGAATATATTAGTAAAAGCAATATAGGGTATCAAAAAGTCTGCCTTGCTTGGTTAAGGTGTTCATACTTGAGTCTATTTGGGATATATTGTATTGCTGTACGATGGATTGACTATATATAACCTATATTAACATAATACTATGTCATATGATTTTCCCGCTTACATAGCATGTTTTGCTTGCAATTAATTCTCTTATGTGTTCTCGATAATTGCTTCACTTTCGATTTAAATTTATAATCTCTTCCGTTTTCCTTAGAGTGCAGATCCTATCGTAGTCTACCAAGAAAATGCAGTGTACCTCTCATAGTTGGCGGCCTTAAAGCGAAACCAAAAGAGTTTCCTTTTATGGCTTTACTATACTATAAAAATGAAGATAAATTTACTCAGCTTTGCGGCGGTACTTTGATTAGCAATAAATATGTTTTAACAGCCGCTCACTGTTTCTACGAGACCAGGTAAGTAATACCATACCGTGTATTTGTTCAACGTGTTTATACGACAAATCTGTTTTCTTTCTTTTTCATTGCCAAGTACTCCACCGAATTGGGTGCGCTTAGGAGAATTAGATTACAGCACTGATACAGATGACGCTTCACCGCAAGACTTTAAAATCGAAAATTTTATACCTCATCATCAATATTACACCACCGATATACAAACTAAATATAATGATATTGCTTTGGTTGAACTGGCCCAAGAAGCTAGCTTTAACGATTACGTAAGCCCAGCCTGTCTACCTCTGGTTGATGGAAATGATTTTCAAGAATTTCTGGCCGCCGGCTGGGGTCTCATTAGTGATACTTCGCTTGAGTATTCATCTCATTTACTTAAAGTGAAACTAGATCGTTACGACGATGACAAATGCTTTGAAATAATCGAGCGCAACGAAGAATTGGAAAAAGGTGTTAATAATCGAACGCAAATTTGTGCGACATCTTTTAGCGGAAATAATGGCACTTGCTTAGGTGACTCTGGTGGCGCACTTTTTGTTAATCATCCCGAGTTTCCTTGCGAATTCCTCGTAGTGGGGATTACGTCATTCGGTGAAGGTGGTTGCGGCAATCAAGGCATTCCATCTGTTTACACCCGAGTCAAATTATATATCGATTGGATAGAGCGTATCATTTGGGATTGAATGAAAAAGCAAAACAAGTTTCTAATAAATAACTTACATGTAAATAATATCACATGTGTGTGCACATTGAAATGCATTTTCGGAACTGAATACAATATATATATATATAAATATATATATATATATAAATTGAACACTTTATCGGTAAATTTTCTTTGTTTTAATTTGAAATTTCGTCCAAATGAAGAGTGCGACTTGCTTCTGTATCTTTGGAAAGCTTTTAATACAAAGGGTCATACGGTTTGCTTACTTTGCCTTTTATATCATCTTGGCCTGAAAGTAAACTGTAACAGAGAGAGAGAGAGAGAGAGAGAGATGCGATTCAGAGGAATTATTGAAGCATAGGAAAATTGACATTAATATGTAAATTGAAAGGAAAAGTTTTCTTCTAAAAAATATATATTTATGCATGTACTTGTCATACATACAAAAAAAATCATTAAACACTTGAATAGAATTTTAAATGCGTTACGTATTGCGAACATCAGCAAGATGTTCTTTTCAAAGAGTTAGTGTTTCACTAGATTACACAACACAAGTGGTCAACTGGTGGTCACAGCTTTTCCGCATTTGTGAGTGTGAGTGCAGTGCGAGTTCTATCATCATCCTTATGCATAAAAAAGAATTTCTTTCTTCTTTTTGTTTTATTTATCATAGATTGTTATAAATATGCTTTGTGTTTAAATGTCTCGAGCAGGTGAAACGGACCTTGCCGAGAACATGTGTGCAATTACTATTGAATCTTTAAAATTTGGAAATGAGCGAAAACGTGACACTTGGTTAACCCAGCCATGATCGCTCCCACTTAGTTAAGATTATAATCAGTAAGTAAAGTTTTCTGCAAGAAATGCTAAAATTGGTCAGCCGTGGACTTCAGGAAATTTCTTGCATTAATCATATCCACGCTGACGTCGTTAAATTTCTTTATTATTATTATTATTATTTTTTTTTTTTTAATGGACTGAGGGCGGCCTATTTCTCCTGTGTATTAATAGCGTAACGTACTTTGATTGAAATAAGTTCGCTTTAAGATAAATGTACAATAAGCTTATCTACAATAAATGAGAAAACAAAAAAATTTAATATTGAATTAGTGTTAATTATAGAAATGAAAAGCAAACGATAGCAAAAGATTATCGACAGTTAGGAGAAACGCACATTCCCCAAGATGAGTATCATTGCATACATTAGAAGCATCGAAGACGTTAACTTATAATCTGTATAGCCTGCAGAAACCTCATCAATATATTACGATATCTGAAAAGTAGGTGTTTAGCTGATTCTCTTGTAATGCAAACTTCAGAGATATCCCTCGCCATGGTGCAAATTATTTCCAAATATCTTTTAACACAAATGAGAGGAAAAGCTAAAGACACAATCATGACGCTTTACCTGCGACTCACGGCAAGATTGACAACAATTAGCAGAAATTTGGCGGAAAAAGGTCTTATCACACAGATGTCGCCTCGAGTGTAGATAACGATAACTTGCTTGTAAATGGGTACGCAAGCGGCGTCTTTGTAGAAGGCAAGTTTGATTGAGTCAAGTGAGTTGAGTCGTAATAACAAAGCGAATTAAAGCGTTGCAAATTTATATTCCTGAAAATAATTTGTAAACAAATTTCCTAAAAATTGCAAATAAAACTAAGGCTATCGTAAAAGTCGCAGTACATTGTTGCGAACATTATTTCAAAAAAAAGTTTTACAATAACGTAAAATTCACCAAAGGGCGGATTGACAGTACATAACTGACGCAATAAGAATCGAAATTATCCATTCGTTTTAGTCTTACACTAGATCCGCAAATTATAAGGTGGGCATTAAGGTAGGCCGCGACAACATGGAACACTTAAGCGAATAACGTAGAAGAAACAAGTCCAGCAAGAATAATCAAGGAACTCAACTATAAGGACGGTGAGAACATATTGCAAATACGTGAACGATGATAATTTTCCCCTATTTTTGATTTTAAGCTAGCGACGTAAGACAAATAAACCGAGAAATTCAATAGAACCCAAGACAATAAAGTAATGTAAGTGCACGAAGGACTGGGAATGGCATTTAAGAACGTAATTAGACCGCACAAAAATACAATTTCAAGCTCAAAATTAGGTAAAAAAACAATTAAACGTCACAACATTTTTAGGGAAATCCCAAATCCAGTTTCATTCCAACTAATTGATATTCCTTGAAAATAAATTTCCAAGAGAAGAAAAAACAAGTGCAAATTAGTGGCGCGTCATGCAGCTGCCATTAGAGTGTCTGAATGGTTAGGGTGTCGTTTAGGATTCTATGCAGATGCATAAACGATTTGTTTTATAGAGAGATTTATTTGGATCCCCTTGCAAACTAATTTGTGGTTGTTTTGCCAGGATTAAGATATAAATTTGAGATTAGAAAATGCATTATAAAAGGATTTCCTTTTCAGTTGCTTTTGGAAACGAAGACTCTACGAATGTTATTAGAAGGTCATCAGTGTATTGAAAGACTCGCATTTTACAATCTTGTAGATCATATAATCTAACTACATTCTCAAGAATTCAAGAAGATGGGGCTCCAACAACCGTCTTATGCAATACTATTTTTTATTAAATCATATAAATAATTCCCCATCCAAAGAGAGAGAGAGAATTTATTGTTCTAACCAAGTCTTGTATATTTTCTTGTAATTTTCTCTTACCGAACTTGGGCTTGTTAAGTGAAAATATTTAGATTTTTTTGCGACCGAGTACATTCAAATACAATCAAATCTTTTTTTGCACGGCTTACGCATTCTATAGAAATCGATGCAAAAAGAATCGTGTAAAAAATACATGCGCCATAGAGTAAACTTGATGATATATTTGACAACTTTCAAAAATCGTGCATGATGGAAAAATTCCAGCTAATTGCCAAGAAAGCCGTACAAACAAAGTAATAATGGAATCCATGTTCATGAAGTATGCGCTTAAGCTTGAGCAATTATATGTGAGAGTATAAGCAATAAAATTTTCAATTTTTGATTTTTCCCTGCTTGGCCGTTTACTTTTGGTACACCACTTGTAGTAGTACATAGTATATTAAGTTAGTGCGCACGTATGTAATGTTCTTATTAGTTTCATAAACAAAACTCGCCTTCCTTTTGCGGAAAATCGTTTATGAAACTGCCTTTTTTGCGACGACCAAGCCCTAAGCCCTAATCTTTGTGATATGCTACAGATTCGATATAAACAATTGTTTCGTCGATCAGCTTCAATTTTCCACCGGATTAATAAGTTCCTAGTGTAAGACGAACGTTGGCAATTAAAAAAGAAATCATCAACAGTTTTATACGAACGGCTTACACAATACATAAATTTTGTTGGCTTTAAGACTAATTAATTACTCTCACACCATCAAAAATCACAAATTTAAGAGATAAGAAATGCAAAGATAGAATCTTAACTTAACTAAAGATAGGAGATGCGATACAAACAATTGTTTCAGTCAATCAATTAGTTTCATCTCTCAACCGGATTCATAAGATCCAATTGCAAAACAGACGTTGGCAAGTAAAAAACAAATTATCAATAGTGTTAGACGATCGGATTACCAATGAGATTAGTCATTAGTTCATTGATGCTATATGTAACGACCGTTGCGGTCGTAAATGGTACGTAAGCGAAACGAGAAAGAAAGTCTTTCGCAGAAATAGAAAGTGTTTTATGTTCTACTCCCTCAAATGGCATTAATTATATAATGTAACGTTGTTGTTGTTTTCTCACAAAGCTAATGAATGCGGTCTTAACAGTGAATGTACACCTATAGCCGATTGTCCTCTTATCCGAGATTATTTCAATGTAATCAAAAGGAAACCATACTGCAATTTGGATCGCCCTGGTGCACACGTATGCTGTAGGAAGTCATCACAAGATAACACGAAACCGAAATATGTTGATTTTCCTTTTGAAAGAGGTATAGTAATTAATTCTTTTATTGGAATTCTAAAACATTCCTATATAAATCTTTTGTAAGTATCTTTCATGAATATGAGTAACATATGCCTGTTTGTCTGTCTGAATTGTCTGTCCAAGCTATACTTTTGTGGTTGCAAGCTATATGTGTATATATGTATAGACTTCATCCACCGACAGGAGAGAACATAAAATAAAACTCTTTAAGCTAAAGGTATGATAGAGAAAGCAATTAAAGGACTGCTAATTAACAGCACTGCAGCTGTTATCGACAATAGAATGGTAATACGCCACAGAAGGGTTATTGATAACCGGCTGTTATTTGCCAGCTCTATTGCTGTTATTGATAACAGAAAACTGAAATATCTTGAGATTTTTTGAAATTTTGTCATAACATATTCAGGCTTGCATAACATATTTTTTGCTTGCAAAGCTCTCATCTATTTTTTATGAAACATTTTTGCTTCACTTTTAATGTATACTTATAGTCTCTTACGCTTTTGTTAGAGTGCAGATCCTATGGCAGTTCGCCAAGTCTACAAAATCCACTAAGAAAAGAATGTAATCGCACACCTGACATCGTTGATCGAGTAAAAGCGAAACCCAAAGAATTTCCTTTTATGGCATTAGTGCATCCCAAAGTTAGAGGCAAGGTTGGCAATTATTGCGGTGGTGTTTTGATTAGCAAAAAATATGTTTTAACATCCGCTTCCTGTTTCTTCAGCCACTAGTGAGTTTAACAGACGATGGATTCATTTGACGTTTCCCCATAACAAATTACTTTCCTTTCATTCCACAGTTTGCGCCCTAACTGGGTGCGTTTAGGAGAACTTGATTATGTTTCAAATATGGATGATGCTTTGCCGCAAGATATTGAAATCAAAAATTTTATACCTCATCCTCAATATCGCGCTACTAAACGGACGCGCTACCATGATATTGCTTTGATTGAATTGGCAAAAGAGGCAACCTTTAACGATTACGTACGTCCTGCCTGTCTACCTCTAGTAGATGACAATGATTTCCAACAATTTCTGTCTGCCGGCTGGGGTTATCCTCCATCAGAACCTTCATCCCATTTACATAGGGTGCAACTAAATCGCCTTGATTTCGACAAATGTTTTGAAAAAGTCACACGGGAAGACTATGAAGAAGGTATTAACAATCGTACAAATATGTGTGTGATCCCTTCTACTGACGACATTGGCAATTGCGCTGGAGATGGCGGTGGTCCCGTTTTCGTTACCCATCCAGAGTATCCCTGTCAATTTCTCATAGTCGGCATTGTGTCACACAGTGAACGCGTTTGCGGAACAAAAGACAATCCAGCTATTTGCACCAGAGTCAAACTATATATTGATTGGATACAACGTATCGTTTGGAATTGAGTTTTTATTTAACTAACTTTAAAAAAACCAAATAAATTTATAAAATTCATTAAAAGAGTCTAAAGAACAAAACTAAATTAATTTCTAAATGGAAGATCTTGTGTCATTCGATATCTCCAAAAGGCATTTTGCCAAGGCATTATGATTTTAGTTTGATACTGTTCCCCACAGTTGCATTCCGTAACAAGAAATAGGTTAGGGGGTGCATTTGTATAAAATGCAACTTGTGTGGTTGAGATTCTGGACGAGTTAACCGAAACAGTCTTTTGCTTGTGGAGCCAAATTGGCGGCGTTCGGTTTTGATATGATTTTTCCATGTTAGATTTTGGTCAACAAGGACTAGAACCTCTACTTAGTGTGCACGTAATACGCGTAGATTTTCCATCATTTGTTTTGACAGTACATTTTTTCAGCCAATGCGAGATTCTATTTAGGTAAATTTGCAATTCATAGGAAACATTCATGGGATCACTGGATGAAAACAGGATTGATGTGAAAATTGCAAAAAGTTCTAAGACGTGGTTTCACTTAACAATTTTCATTAAGAATGCAACCTTACGTTGTAGTAATTTTTAAGTTCACTATCGATAATAACCGAAAATTCGTGATCTATCCTTACCGCAGACGCGCTGCGCGATACATCGCCGCGATAAACTCGAGATGGATCGACCCAACGCAAAAATTAGGATCGAATTTACTCGGTGTGGTGAAGCATGATGTAAGTGGAAATTATTCCCCTTAAAATTTTGGATTGGAAAACCTTTCGAAAGCTCTTCACTTTCATAAAGTTTTTTCTTTTTCTATCATTGTCAGTTAAAAAATTTAATGAAATTAGTATGTGCATAAATAATAGCAACCTCGTCATTATTGCTGTAATTCCACGTAATTACAAACAATTCACCGCACGTATTATAATCTCCCTGTTAAAAGAGAAAATTCGAATCAACAATTATCTAGCAAAGCGAAAAGAAAAAATACCAAAAAACGAGAAGAACGTAGAACTTGTTTAAGAAAACCTTAAGAAGCAGAGAATACTTATTTTATAAAGGATTCCTGGCAAATGATACCAAATACAGTGTCCTCTCGCTTCTATGTCTTCCTAGTACTGTTCTCTTCTAGTTCTGTTAAGGTTTGAAAACTATTGCCAACGAGAAAACATTAATGTCCAATTAATCTATCAGGTTGATACTTGGGATAGCACCAGGTAAGTCCAGTTAAACTCTTTTCTTATCTAATTTTCTCTTCTTCTTCTCTGTGCCCTCTCCCGCTCTTCTCTAAAAAAACAAAATACAAACAAAAATATAATAATTTTTGATATCTTCTTCTTTTTTTCTCATTTCTAATTTTCATTTTGCTCTCTTCTCACTATTAAAAATGACCCGTACACCTTGATACGTGCGGTATATGCTTTATTCTTAAACGCATTGATTAAATTACATGCATTAAAATAGATTTGTATTTATTATATCGTATACCACTAGTCGTACAGAGCATAAATTTTAGATTATAAATCTTTAGATTAAAAGCTAATGACATTTATATGAAATAAATTAATTTATATTAATTTGAAGGGAGCCATCCTCGCAAAGTACTATCAATTTAAGAACCTCCGCAGCAGCGCACGGGATAACTGGTCCATATTTGAACTTGAAAAAAATTCGTTTAATGTACATTTCTTTATATAAAGAATAACGCAGGATTTTTTAGAAATATTGATTTCTGTATGATTCACGAGTATTTGGAAAAAAAGTCGAATATTAAGAGAAGGGGATCTTCTTTTAATAAACAAGAAAAATGACTATAGTGGCCTCCCATTAAAAATCCTATACCAATACGATGGCACTATGTGGGAAGCGTTCGATAACCTGCCCCGATATGAATCATTTGCAACGGTGATGCCGTTCATCCTTGGGCCAAAATATCTCGATTTCATTAAAATATTTTACAAATTGCGGACTGCATGTTGAGGACGAGAATATTAGTAAGACAGACGTTTAGACAACCTTAGATTAATGGAGGAAGCGGTTCTGACTAGGCTGGTATAAAAAAGAGTAGAACCACTTTAACCTACCTCTTGATATTACATCCGCACGAAGTTAACATAACATCGTATAGGGTACAAAAAACTTTAGACTAATATATCGAAAACATCTTACGTTGTTTCCAGAGAACGTTCCTTTAAAGAAAAAGATACCGTAGTTTTACCCCTTAATGGGACTCACTCCTGCTCGCCGCAACAAGCAACCATTAGGCTTTGTGATTCGCTGCAGATGCAATGAAACCAATTATTCTAGTGGATCAGTTTCAGAAATGATTAGATTAACAACAGAGAAATTTTGTTGGGTTTAAAACTAATGAGTCGCTCTCACGCCTCCAACCACAAACTATT